ATTTGCAGACAGGAGGAAGAAGTATCCTGCTTTTCAGGGTGATGGGAGCCATATCAGTCTGTGAGTCATTCTGTGGTTCGATGATTTTTAGGTGGTGCTGCTGAAAATGTCGTTTCTTCTTCTTCTGCAACACTGGCCTGATGGTTCAGTTTCATTGTTTCCAGAGGGGCCACTGGCATTGGAGACTGGCCCCTTCAATAACTCGAGGCATCTTTTGAATATGTCCTTCCCCAACCACCTCTGTAGCTTAATGGCATCAATTGTGCATATGAATAAATGAATTCCAGATGAGAGACCTGCATGCCAGCAAGTAAGAGATCTCACAGGCATTCCTATGTGGTTGCTGGCTGTTTACTCTCCTAATACTTTTTGCTAGTAGATGAGCTATAATAATTGGGCTGCTTCTCTCCTCCTCCACAAAGTTACTGGCTTTGCATAAACTCGGCATGCTCGTGCTGGCTTCATCAGGGAATCAGGTCATGGAGCTGAAAGATCTGTTCAGATACCACGGTATGTTCGACTGCTGCTATGCTCCATCCTCCAGGTTGTTTATTTAAATAAAGAGGAGCTTTCTGAAGGGCATGAGCTCATTTTAACAGGGCTCCCAAAGGGGATGTCAGGCATTGGTGGGATCTGCAGGGCTTGCAGGTCTAGGGTTTCACACTGCCCTAGGTCTCAAATGCAGCTTAGATCTGACATCCATCCAGAGCAGCTCACAGCCAGCCTAGATAACGGTGGTTACAGAAACAAAGTGGTTACTGAATGGATGCACAGGTCAGTGCAATGGTTGTTGTTGTTAGAGCAGTGCTAAGATGGTGTGTGGGATGATCTGTGTGCATGAGCACTTCTATGCAAGTGCTGCTCAGCACAGAGCACATCTTGGAACCTCTCCTCACTTTTCCCCCCTTTTCTCCTTCCCTCTTTCCTGGTGGGACCAGGGCAGGCTCTTTTCTCCTTCGGTGATTCTTTCATCTGCTTGGTGCAGACTATCTGTGGTATCCCTCTCAGAAGGAGGATAAAACTGCCTGATCTGGGGATGAGGACCTATGTCTGGCCGGTATCCCTACAGAGAATACTTTCTTTCTGAGGTACGCACCACTTTGGGATGTCCCTAAGGATGCAGTTATGAGCTTTGCTCCAAACCCTGCTCCAGTTCAGGTTTTCCCACGCTCTTGGTTATTTATGTGGAATGAATGGAGGCCCTGGGACTCACTGGGTGGGATTTCTCCCACCTGAAGGTCCCCCATCCTTGTCCCTCCATGCCCATACCGCTCGGTGTGCATGCTGCCCAAGGGGTGTGCAGACTGTTCAAGCCTGCTCTTCATCCTGCCCCATGGACACCTGTGGGCTCATCACCCCCTTGCTGCTGCTCACCAGATGGGGACAAAGCCTGACCGCCCCACAGACCTCTGATGGAGGGGTCTGTGTTATCCCTGCCAGGCAGAGGAAAGTCAAGAGGCACTGGGGACAAATAAAGGATGATGAATCAGCCATGCCAGGAAGTGAACCTTGTTCTGCAGGAGAGCTGGAGCTAGCCAGCACAATAGCTAGGTTACAAAGCCATTTCCTTCAATTACCTTCTCTGTCAAATCCCCATGTTGTCTGGCACTAGGAGAGCTTGGATACAAACTCATTGTGAATTGGGGCGATGACACCAGAGATCTCTAAAGTAATTCCCTGCCAAGAGGAATGGGGCTTGTTTTTTCCAATCATGTCAGTTCTGATTCCTTGGCTTGTCAGGGAAAACTCTGGCTTCTCAGCTGGTTTCAAGGGCACAGCTCAGGGAAATCATGGGCTGCTCAGCCCAGCACATGGAGCTTGCAGGGAGCTTTGTGCATGGGGGGGGGGGGGGGGGGGGGGGGGGAAGGCATTGTGGACCCTTGTTGGCACCTGACAAAGTGCACAGGCTGTGCACAGCAGAGTGGACTGGGATGAAGGGGACTGGGTCCTCTTTGTGGCTTCCCAATAGGAAGTCATTGGTTATTGCAGGTGCAATTACAGTCCATGGTGGTTTTGCTCCACAGGCTGGGTTAGATATATTCAACTGAATGTCAAAGGACTCCTTTGCACTGCAAAACATATGGAACAGGAAAGGAGCAGCATGCTGGCCAGCCACTGTGCCAGCTAATGAGGTCTGATGGTCATGTTACCCAAAACCCATTATTTTACAGTCTGGGATGACTGTGTTAGAGGCCTTCACTGCTGGTGATGGGAATGATGTGGACCAGCAGGTGAGCTGCAGTGTGGTAGGGGGGATTGGGAGGCTCTATGTCTGCTTGTCCTATTGCAGACAGACTGGGACAGTCTTTAGAAAGGGGGGGGGTGCAGGTCATTGCATCATAGAACCCCAACCTGGTTTGTGTTGGAAGGGACCTTAAAGCTCATCCAGCCCCAACCCATGCCATGGGCAGGGACACCTTCCACTAGGGCTTGCTGCAGGGCAGGAGCAGATGTGGGATGCTGTGTGCCGGCATCCCCAGAGCATGCTGAGAAGAGGCACAGCCAGGGGGTTCAAACCCACAGACCTTGGCTGCTGGCTGTGCTGCTGTGGGGGAGGCAGGAGCATGTGACAGGGGGAGAAAAGCCCCAGCTTGAGCAATATGTGAAGCCCCTTTTGGGGTGGTGAAGCTGGATACCTTGTGTGTGATGGTTTATGTGCCTCCAGTCAGCTCTTAGGGGGTGAAGGAGCCTTGTGGGGTGCACTGGAGCTGAGCCCCACCAGCCGGTGCTACTGGATTTACATGGCTCCTTTGTCAGGGCATCAGCAGTTGGCAGTGGGCACCCAGCCAGTGGGATGCATCACTGCACAGGCATCGCCAGTGCCAGCATTCCCATTCCCAGCCTTTGGGAAAGGAGCACCTGCTTCCCACAGGCATCCCTGCCACAGCTGCCACTGTGGGGACCATCCCCATGTCCAGGGCCAGGTTCTTCCCCTCCCAGCCCCTTGAAGCTGCAGGCAGGGGGTCTCTGTGCATGCACCATCTCGGGGCACACAGCACTGTAGGTGCCCATTGCCAGCTGGCAAAGGGGAGGCTGCCATGGGCCAGCAAGGAATTCCAGAGGTTTCTAGACTGCCATCTGCCTGCCCCAGGTAAGGTACAGAGCTGGGGTCCAGCACAGCCATGGCAGAGCTGGAGAGATGCTGCAATGGTCAGTATCCCTCTTTCCTTAATGCTAACCCCAGTGCCTGCCTGTGTCTGCCTGCACTGCTGAGCTTCCTTAGGAAAGGATGAGAGGATGGGCAGGCTCCTGCTCTCCGGATGAGCGGCAGAGGTATCGTTGGTCAGTGCTGGGGCTGCGTGACCAAGCACCCCATTTATCACCCCACACATCCCCAGCGCCTGCAGCTCATTATTTCTCCTCCCAGCACTGGTGTGGTCCCTGTTCAGGGCTGGAGCAGAAGCAATTGGTCCCTGTGTCCCCTCTGCAGGCTCTTTCCAGCTGGTGGGTCCTGCTCTGCCCAGTGCCTGCCTTGCTGTGCCTGGGTGCTGGGGGGCTGGATGCTGTGCTGGGAAATGCTGCTCTCCTGGGGGCTTTTCCGGCCACAGCTTTGTGAGTTCAAACATACGTTGGTTTCTGACAACCTCAGCTTTGAGGCAGGCTCCCTTTTTACATGGCTTTGGTGGAAATCCACATTGTAGTGGATGTGTGGAAAAATGGTGTTTTCAAAGCAAAAATGAAATGAAAACCAGCCTGCCTCCTCCCTCCCTCCCCCAGTGCAATGTTATTTGGGAAGTGGGGCCTCTGGTTTGAAGCGCTTGAAGCACAGACACATCTTTCTCTTTATTCCCTCCACTTCGCTGCTCCTTCCTTTGCTTCCATTTCCCTTATTTTCGTTATGTCTCAAGTCCATTCCCAGCCGTCTCACACAGCCCTTGCTCCCCACGTCCCCTGTAGGGTGTAGGGTGTCAGGAGAGGTCTGTTGAAGGGTTTAGTGCGTTAAGTCCCTGTTTTTCCAGTTCTGTTTTTGCTGTCTCAGAGCTGAAGCTCTCTATAGAAACTTTGTGCTTTTTACATGAATTAGGCTTTATAATTAATGCCCACTTCCCTGGGTCTGTGTCTGTGCGCTGAGGTCCTGCCTGTGCATAGGAAGGAAAGCAGATGGCTTCCCAGGAGCTGCTGGTTTAACTATGGCTGGGGAGCCTGTTTGCACTGGCAGCTTGCTAAAACCCTTGTGTCCTACTGCACATCCCGGCCCCTCCGTTTGCGGAGGTGATGCTGTGCTGCAGTCCCATGCCTGCAGGCTGGATTTAACACTGAGGTTTGGGCAGTGCTGCACAAGCTTGTGTGTGTCAGCTTGGATGTGGTGTCCTGAGCATCTATGTCTGAGGAACATGAATGGCTGTGCACAGAGGAGCTGTGGCTGCCCCGTCCCTGGCAGTGTTCAAGGCCAGGTTGGACACAGGGGCTTGGAGCAACCTGCTTTAGTGGGAGGTGTCCCTGCCTGTGGCAGGGGGCTGGAACTGGATGCATGTCAAGGAGTGGGGCTGAGACCAAAGGGATGCTGCAGGATATGAGGAGGATGGAGCTGGTGCTGTGGATCAGTGACCACGAGATGCTGTGTCTGTGCATTGTGCGAGGAGCTCTCACATGGGTTCAGTCGAGCCAAAATACTCTTTCAGAGAGAGAAGGGACCAGATGTCTTATTATTGCTGCTGACAATGCTGCCCCTGAGTGCAGTGATCCATCAGGGGCTCGGCACAGCCCCACAGACAGGTCCCTGACATGATTTTAGAGCAGGGCCAGGTTCTCACCACTTGTGTGCATTTGTACCCCCTGACAAATAGCTGTTTGACTCCGGTTTTGTTCAAAGCCTTGGTGGTGTCAAGCACAGGGCTCCTATTCAAGTGCCCACCAACGGTGGTCCACAACTCACTGTTTCCTCTTCTTTCATCGCTTTGTTTCCCTGTGGCAGTCACTGGGAGCTTTGTCTTTTTTTATCTCATAGGGGTTTTGAAAGACAAATTTCAAGGATTTATCTGCAGCAAAACAGTGACAGTGAAAATGGTTTGGGGGTGCATGTGTGAAGAATCCCGTCTGCATGGATATGTTGCTGATGTGACACTTGATTGCTCTTTATTTTGTTGGTATGTTTTTAAATATATATTTGATGTATAGAATTGTCAGGCAAAGACTCGTAAGCATTGAGAAATGCAGCTCTCTACAGTGGACCAGCCTCTCCTTAATAGTGGTTCCTCTTCAGTGTGGGAGATGTGCTCCTGACTGCTCTGAGCACCTTGGCTGGGGAGGACGATTAGTGCCAGGTGCTTGTCCTGCTGTATAAACCTGCACAGGTAAGGTGTTGACTTTAACCTGCTTTCTAAGTGATGTGTGCGCCCAAAGTTGCCTGTAGAGAATAGGCCCCAGGTGCGTCATGGGCTGTACAAACACGTAGTGCAAGGGTGTCCCAGCCTGCAGCAGCTGGCAGTGTGAACCCCCAGGGTGCTGGTAAACCCATGCAGACCATGTAGCCCTGCTTGCAGAGTGCCACCATAACGTTTCTGCCCACTTCTCCTGGTTATTAACAGCTTGGTTTTATAAATGAGGAGCCCTTTGTATTCTGCAGATGGTGACTTCCTGATGTGCTTCTCCAGTTCAAGTTCCCCTTTGACTTCAGTGAGTGTTTTCTGTGCTCAGGGAGCGTTTTCCATCATTTGGAGCCTGAAGGGAAAGAGGATTTATGGAATGGGGAGCGTGAGGCACCAGCTCAGCAAATACCAAAGCATCTATGTAAGCGTTTGTACGTTGGAGACGTAAGTACACAAGTGGTCTTGATCTTAAGCCACTCCGTATTGCTGGGTCCGAAGGCTGAACTGGGAACACGCAATACAGTTTGTATGCTGGCATTTTGAGATGTCTTCTCTAAGGAGAGGTTTCTCTATGCTGTGATTTCGCATCTTCTTCCAATCACTCTCAGTCTGTTTAGCAGACTTACAGCCCCTCAGCACATGCTGAATGTCACATCGTCAGTGCAGTCGATTAATCATTTTCTTATGGTCTTAGCCTCAATTCTCTTAAATTTTGGCAAGGACATTGTAATAGCTGACCTATTATTGTTTCTCTCTCCTTCTGACCTGCTGATGTCCCCCAGCTATAGGTGGCATTATGGAGGTCTTTGGTGGCCCTTCCAATACTCTTGTACTTTAGAGATCAGCTTTCACTGCAGCCTTCAAAGTCAGCTCTCAACACATTGCTAGCTTCTTTCTATGCAGGTGAAGCCATGAGTGAGTGTGTGTGTCTGTGTGTGTCTTGTGGCAGATAATGGGAGCATCTTCACTGGTAATTGTAAAGTCAGGATCTGTAATTAATTCTTCTATAAAGCTCTCAACCTCAAGGTGAGCCTTTATCCATCTATTAGTGCAGGGGAGGGACACACTTGTCTAGAGGCAGAAGATGGGAGCAGGGAGGAAAGAGAACTGGCTCCTTTGTTTGAATGATATTGTTCCCTTCATGCCTCAAACAAAATGAGAGTGTGGCTAAAACCAGTGAGATTTGACCTCTCAGAACACAGACTTCAAAAGGATTGGAGAAAATAGTCCCGGAGCAGGCACTGGAAACCCCATCCTGCAGATTCCTCTCATTCCAAGGTGAGCCCAGTGATACCTGCGTGAGTCTTTGTAAATGTTTGTTTAACCTGTTTCTGGCAGTGTTGAAATGTTCCTTTTCCCTTTGCAGATGTGAGGCTCAGGAGCACACGCACATGCTCGGGTTCCCCTCTTAACCCCCAGGAGCTGTGGCTTAGGGAAAAGCACCAAATACTGCAAGAGCTGTTAACACTTCATTATTTGCATAAGTGGTTTTTTACCCCCACTCCCCCACCCCCCCTTTCTTTTTTAATAGCAGCTTGGAAACAGTTTAAAACTCTTTCCATGGAAAGCTCTGTCAGAGAAGAGACGGTTTTGTCACAAACCTTCATGCTGAACTGATTATACAGCCCGATGTACTGGAGCCTTCCCTGGAAGGAGAACTTGATGTACCTCCATATACACTTAACAGGCAGCAGGACTTGTTCTGCCAGATTCAAAGGAAAGAGAGGAGTCCCCTAGGGGTGAGAGTAATCTCTAACAAAAGCAGATAGTGTCTGACAAATCTAATTAGTATTGAGGATTCAGAGCGTGCTGAGCTGGAGAGCGTGGTGATATGGCCCCGTGTTAGTAAGGATACGTGCTTGAGGACCATGCAGCTTTGCCAAAGGAGAAATGTAGATCAAGGAAAAGCTGAAGTAGATGCTCAAGTATTTGTTGGTTGGATGGACTAGCTAAAGACAGAAGGGGCAAACAAACCACAATAATCAAAAGCTCTTTCAGTTGACTCTATCTCTGTTGAAGGCTTTGGGGGGACTCTTCAGAGAAAAGTTAAACCCATTTTAATTCAGTGTCTTTCATTTGCCTTGAAGAACTACGGTTTTGGAGACTAACATGTAAAAAACCCAACAAACCAAAACCCCAAAACACAACAGGTTCTGTTTTTTGGGTTTTTTTTTAGGTAAAATGTAGCCCAAAAAGGTAGTCCATAGTTGTATTTGGTGCAACTGTAATCTACTGTTAAGCACAGCCTAGGGTGGTAGGCTAACAGGAGCTCATAGAAATGTGTCTCTGCAGGTGATGGCAAGCTGACTTTTCACCTCCTGATCTGGACTGATGACTACCTTTTGAAGACCCTCCTGGTCATTAAGGGATGTAGTGTGATCCTGTTTCCAAGCCTCCAATGCTCACTTATACTACTAGAAAGCTGACAGGAGAATGGTGTGTTGTAATACATGAAGTGCTTTGGAGATACTTAAGTGTAAGTTCATTAAGACATGGTTTATATTCACCACTGACTGGGCTTGGAATTTCTTCCAGGAGATCCCAGCATGCTTGTATGCCTTGTCCCTGCAGGTTACAGGGACACTGACAGATGGCTGAGCTCTCATGGGTGGTTCTGATTTGTGGGGTTCCTCAGGTCAGGCAGCTTCTCCAGTGGGTGTGATTGCTTTGGTTTGGGTTTTTCTTTTGTTCATTGCACAATTCCTTGGAATAATGCCTTTCACCTTGTCTCCACATGATTGGTTTTTCCTCTGCGTCCCACTCAGTGACTCAGGTCAAAGGCATCTTTTCCAGTGCACTGTTTCTTTGGGGATTTTTTTGCCTTTCCAGATGTGCATGAGCTCAAGGACAACAACTAGAATGGAGACAAGTGTTAAGAGAAGCATTGATGCTCAGCTCTAGTTCTCTCAGAAGGTGAAAAGGGATGAGGCTTTGATGTAGTGTGGAAGATCCTCACTTTCCATCCAATTAGAGTTGATGACTGGACTCCTTTGGAGCCAGGCAGGTGACCATGGAGCTGGTTTATTCTCTAGCAGCACTGGCAAGCATTTTGGATGAAACCGCCACCAAAGTTATGGCCTCCCTACTTATCTCCCAGCTGATGCTTTAAGTACATCTACTCAGTCTGCCTGATCCTGGTTAGGGTTATATGAGGTTCTACCTATGCTTTGGTCTCAACAACCTGGAGTCTATTTACTGATGGAGGCTGATCAGGACAGAGAAATCGGGTATCTCCATGTCTCCCTACAAGGAGTGTCCAGAACCAAGGGACTCAGATTTCTAGCTTGGACTCTCCACAGCCAAAGAAAACCTCTTAAATATTTCTGAACTCATGAAAGACCCTCAGATACTGTAATGATGAGCCCAGAAGTGCTTGGTTTACTTGCTGCTGATAACCAGCTGGAGGTGTTGCCAGCACTGGGAACAGCTCTGCTGTCGCCACAATGTGGGAAGCTGAGCAGTCAGACGCCTTCATGCATGTTTGTGAGGAGCCCAGGCTGATGGGCTCAAAATGGGGTGTTTGGCTGCAGGGCTCTCGTAGCTCCTCTTAAGTTCTGATCTGGCTTTTGAAATCCTAGCACATGTGTAAGTCAAGCTGGCTTGATTCAACTTACTCTTTCCTACCCAGCAGAAAATGCCTTACTCTGAAGTGGGAAGGAACGTGCCTCTGCTATGCTGGGACTATGGGTTTCTGATGAGAGCTTGTGAAGATGTTTCTGATGCGTTCTGGCCTCTTGCTTCCTGGGATATGTGTTTCTCTTTGCAGTGAAGAACTGTGCTTTCCACCCTGCTACGAAGCCGGATGCCCCTACCCCAGGTAGACCCTGCTTTTAATCCTTCTCCCCAAGCTGAGGTTTTTCACTGAATTCCTCCTGGTAGTTTCCACCCTTTCATGTTGTGCAAAGACCTGGTGGTGGGGTCAGGACTTGTAATCCACAGCTGGCCTGAGGTCTTGTGATACACAGCACCGTGAAAGAAGCTGGGAATGGGCAGGCGGAATTCCTGTGTGTCTCAGAGGGAGCAGTGTCTGATGTGCAAGCACAAACGCTTTTGTCTAAAGTGAAGTCTGTGCAGCCAAGCCCCTTCACATTGGAACTGCAGTGTTAATTAGACCTGACTGGGAATTTCCCAATGTTGGTATACAGGGATTTTTGCAGATTGAAGTTTCCAGCTGAAAATGCATTGACAGAATGGAGAGGCCTTGCCAAAGCATGTCTTAAACCCAAACCAAACCCAAACACCTTTTAGAACACAGCTAACCTGCCATGCCCATAGTCACAAGAGGCCTGTGGCAGAGCAAGGAGCACAAGTGCTGCTTTTCTATTCCTTGGACCCACATTTAATGTTACAGGGTTGCTTTTCCAGCTTCCAGGGAGTGACCTCAGCCAGAGCTTGGCTTCACCAGAGCAGAGTTAGTGCTTAGTGTCTTCATCCTCAGTGCTTCCAGCCGCAGACATGGAGAAGGGGGGGAATGGAGCTGAGATCATGTCAAGTGATCATTGCAGGAGAAAGAGACCGAAAGGACGTCCATTTCTGCCCCCTGTCTGTGGTGTTTCAGCTGTCCATGAATAACCGGGTGGCTGCTGGGAACAGCAGGATGACGACTGTCATTTCTGCTGGTCTCTGCCAAGGTAAGGCAGCTCCAAAAGAGATTACAAATATGTTTTTTCATCTTGTTGTTGTAGGAGCTCGTGTAAGTTGCTCCTCTGTGCTCTGGTATTTCATAGAGTCGTAGAAACACAGAATGGTTTGGGTTGGAAGAGATCTTAAAGCTCATCCAGCTCCAACCCCTGCCACAGGCAGGGATACCTTCCACTAGAGCAGGTTGCTCCAAGCCCTGTCCAACCTGCCAGCCATGGGGCATTTCATTGCAGTACAGCTTTGTATAGGTATGAAGGAGTATCTTTAAGTGACACCTCTGTAATGGCCTTAAGAGAACCAGAACATGAAGAAGGCTGAAGGGCTTCTTAGACTTGATCATTCCTAGCTCATGTTTCCAAACACAGCGTACAATCTCCCCTCATTGGAGGCTAGACGGGGCTTAATGGGCTGTGCAAACAGTGAGGTATTTTTTGTATGCTGCAACATTATCTACATCACCAGACACTGATTCATGTGCTAAGTTGGTACCAATGGGTGCCTTAAATTGTGTGTTACATTGTCATTGCCCTAGTTCGTGCTTGTTACTTAACCATAAGGAGAGTTTTAGACATTGAGTGCATTTTGATTATAACTGCTACAGAAGTTCGTAACTTGCAAAACTGACATTTCTGCACCTCTCTGACCTTTACCACATGAATAGCAATGCAGGCTTGACAGCACTTTGCTTTTCTTAGCACTTTGGATGCCGCAAAATCACAGAGCATCCCAGGCATCCCAAGGAAATGTGTGTCTTAATTTATTTCAGCCTTGAGAATATTCTTGGGCTGTTTTGCTCACCAGCCCTTCAAAGGACATGCATGAGCCCTCATCCCCCTCCCACCTTGGCTTAGTGAAGGATGCTTGCCCAATATTCAACTACCCTGAGCCTTGGGTTGAGCCAATGTTCCTTATCTTTCTGTGGATGATGATAATGGCTTTGCAGAGCATGTACTCCTAATGTTACTCACAAGAAGAAAAGTCACTGAAATCTGGAAGAGTCTCTTTAATGTTGCTATTTATAAGCCCAAATGAATGTGTCCTCTGGAGATTATTGCCTCCTGCTCCTTCTCCTGGCTCCAGCGTCTATGTTTCTGGTCACTCTTTGGCTTCCTTTCCATTTTCTAGAGCAGTTGTTGTGCTGCCCCGATGCTCAGATCCTGTGTTCAGCCTGACAAAGGTTTTCAATGGAAAGTGTTTGTGCACTGCAAGCAATTTGCTGCTGTTTAAGACTCACGTGGCCACCCTGAGATCTCTGCTGTTCCACACAGGAGCTTGTTTTCTCACAGGAGTCGTCTTCTCAGTGGTGCTATGGGTCACAGCACAAAACATTACTGTGTAATGGAGAAACTGGGGAGCTAACGGTGAGATCCTGATTGCTTCATACATAACCTGTAAATGTATGCTGGATAAAAGTAGTGCTTCAAAGCACCTAATGAGGTTGTCGGGACAGGTCAAAACAGGGAGAGTTCTCTGTGGCAGAGCATGACGGGTAAATTCTCCCATTTCATGCCATTTCCCATCGCATCAACTGATTACCCCCTCTTGGTACATGCAGAAACCTCCTGTCACTCCATGGTGGGTGAACCTCTAGGCAGCTGAAGCTGAAGTATCTCCAAGCTGGATGAATGGGTTTTACAGATGTCAAGCCTTGCAAACCAGGTTCATTCTCCTTGTGTGCTTTCCCCTGCTGTCCCTGCTTTGGGACTCTCTGCTGCCTGACTGTATCTTGATTTCTTCTCAGTCCTGCCCTCTATGTGTGATCCTGATGGGTCACCTAACAATGGGGGATTCAGATTACTACTTCTTTCAAGTCTTGAAGGCTTAAGCAAAGCCTTCCAGGCAAGGTCAAGAACACAGGTTTGAGGAAGGACTTTGCTGTGGAGAATCACATTTTGTTTGCTATCTTAAATCCGTTAAACTCAGCATTGTGCATGATGAACTCAGCTAAAATCCATGCTCTCAAATTCCCTCAGTGCTTTATTAGGTGTTTCAATTGTTCACACTCTTTTCTGCATGTTGTCTCAGATGTGCTTAACATCAGGTGCTTTGTCTTCCTTCGTGCAATAGCTGCTGGTCAGTTGTGACTGCTGGGGCCTTGGCACTGGGATTCTAGTTTGGGAAATGCATCAGACCAGCCCCATGAATGGGCCATGAAAAGTTGTTGACATTGCTTTGCCCAGGGGCTGCTGCAGCGGAGGAAGTCTAATCACAGACTTCTACAGGTTTTGGATCAAATCTCCAGCAAAGCTGCTCTAAGAGAACTCTCAACACGCTGCTATTTACTGCAAATTCAGCCTATATGGGAGCAGGAATCACAAGACTTCTCATTCAGAGGGCTTTAACCAGCCCTTCTGGCCTGTTAAGTGGGGTCCAACCCATAAGCTTTATGATTATAGCTACCAGAGACCCATGTAAGGGCTGAATGGCTTCTTTATTTGAAGCACTGCTTCAGGTACAAGGTTGGTCAAAGCAGTGCTGGTGGAGGAAGAGCAAAGAACTTACACCTCTCCACATGAGATGTTACTTCAGTTTCCAGCTCTTTCCTAAGTGGGGAAATACTATTTGCAGATAGTGCAGTTGCAGTGCAGTTGTATGCTACCCCATTGTTAGCAGGATGGATTTATTACTGCAGATGCATCTGCTATCTCACTTCCCCTCACCAACATGTGGAATGGTTCTGCTCAAACCCCATCCAATGGCAAGGCAGAAAACCTCAACATCTACCAACTTGACAGGTCAGTTTGCAGTTGTTTTCTTTACATACAGGGTAGGCTTGGCATGGACAAAGAGTCTGCTGCATCTCCTGGAGATCTTGAATCCTTTTGGGGCCAGATATGGAGAGACTGTTCCTTGCAGGAAAAGCAGTTGCCATGGTAGACAGCAGCCTTGCTGTTCCGTGTGCTCAATTCTGTCCCATCACACCTCTTGGAGCAGATGGGAAAGGAAAAATGCTGTGTTTTACGAGGAAGGGAAGTGGAGTTGCTGCAGTCCCTTCCTCAGATGGAACTGAAGAGTTCTGAAGAAATACTAAAGGATATGGATGTAATTGGCTTGGAGCAACCTGCTCTAGTGGAAGGTGGCCCTGCCTGTGGCAGGGGGTTGGGACTGGATGAGCTTTAAGGTCCCTTCCACCCCAGACCATGCCATGGTTCTATGATCCTATGATGTGTCTCACAGGTGACATGGATTTCATCCTGGCCTCTGCAGTGGAGAAAATAAAAGCTATCCCAGAATGACTTTGAAAGAACAATTCCTTCCTTTTCCACCCAAAGCAGAGCTCAGACAAACAGCAGCAGCTATGCAGGGTTAGAGCCCCAGGCTGGGTCAGGTATCTTCAGCAGGTTATTTTGGAGCCCGTGCAGGTCTCTATGCCCTGGTTACTCTCTCTGAGATTTCCAAACTTTCTTGGCTAGCAGCAGTACTTTAGAAACAGCAACCACAGAAATGCAGGTCTTGCTTCACTGCACACATTTGGATGAGAGCTGGTTATGGCTGTTTCTTATCCATAGCTCTTTAGATCTAGTGGCCTGCATTTAAGTATGTTTCATTTATGAAAATGAGGTGAAGCAGGATTCCTTCCATGAACAATCACTGTTTTCCTTATGACCTGCTCAGGGATTTAATCTTTTTCTTTAACTCAATATTTCAATTCATTTCTTTCCGGAAAAAAAGAAAAGCAAAAAGGGATCTGCGCTGGTTATTTATGTGTGTACAGCCCATATTTGTGTGGGTTTGGTGCTGATAGCCTGCATGTGTGTTTACAATAGCCCTTGTGTTATCCCAGCCGGCAGCCTAAAAACACTTCCAAATTATTCCACATCAGAAGCAAAGAGGGTTTGGATAGACTCCTAGGGGAAAGTCTTGAAGTGGTGCCCAAACCTCAGTCCCAGTGCTGTAAGTCAGGCACGTGGCTGATATTTTATCCACCCCAAGTTGGACTTTCACAAACTGTTTTATTTGTGGAGGGAACAGGAACTTGGGAGCAATTTTAATCAGTGATTTCTTGGAGATGGCTTTCCTCCGCTCCTTTGTCCTCTTTTCCTCTCCTGACACACACGTGTGTGCACTCTGCCCGTGTTTTCTAAGAACTGATGGAAAGTATGTGCATGTAAGCACAAGGACCTGGCTGTACTAAACCAAGCCTCCCTGTGCATAGGGGCTGACCTGGTTACAGTCTGTGCTTTTGGAATAGAGCTGATTTTATGCATGAAACACTTGGATAACTGTAAGTGGATGAACACCGGGGATTTCAGTTCTGTCCCTATGATTTGGTGTTTGCTGGTAAACCACCCCAGGACTGAGCACTGATGGACTTTCCAGGTCTGAACTTCACAGGCAGCGCCCTAGGATGTGGTGTCCCGAGTCAGGTGTCTAGAAACCCTTTGGACCTGACAACCCAGGGAATCAGCCAGCCCTTAAGCTCTCAGTAGCACAGGCAGTCAGGTAGGGCTGCCTTGCTGTTCAGGACCCTAAACCCCGTGCCACGGGCAGGGACACCTTCCACTAGAGCAGGTTGCTCCAAGCCCCTGTGTCCAACCTGGCCTTGAACACTGCCAGGGATGGGGCAGCCACAGCTTCTCTGGGCACCCTGTGCCAGTGCCTCAGCACCCTCACAGGGAAGAGCTTCTGCCTAAGAGCTCATCTCAGTCTCCCCTGTTCTGGCAGGTTAAAGCCATTCCCCTTGTCCTGTCCCTACAGGCCCTTGTCCAAAGCCCCTCTCCAGGTTTCCTGTAGCCCCTTTAGGCACTGGAGCTGCTCTGAGGTCTCCCCTTAAGGAGCCTTCTCTTCTCCAGGCTGGACCAGCCCAGCTCTCTCAGCCTGGCTCCAGAGCAGAGCTGCTCCAGCCCTCCCAGCATCTCCATGGCCTCCTCTGGACTCACTCCAACAGCTCCACATCTCTCTGGTGTTGGGGGACCCAGATCTGGACCTAGTACCTGAGCCAGCTCTGGTCCTGGGCCTTCATTTACTCATATAAGAGTCGACTTTACCA